AAATTATACAATACCAAAAAATTTTTCCAAAATCCAGCTTCCACTATTATCAAACAATCAATATTTTTGTTCCATTATCAAAATAGATTCATTAATAATGTTATCCAATATCTTTCTTTATCCTCAAATTCGTAATATCTTTAATGCCAATGTTATCCAATACCAAAAAAAAATGGATTAAAGTATTTTTTATATGAAATTTTCGATAATGATTATTATTTAACTTATTTTCCTCTGCTCTTTTTATTAATATTCAAATCAATATTCAACTCACAAACTATTATTTAACCATTAAAACAATATTCAACCCTCTTTCTTTCTATTTAAATACTTTTCCAAAAGCCAGCATCCACTATTATCAATCAGTCAACATTTTTTTACAATATCGAAATATATTCAATACTAATGTTATCTTATATCATATTTTATTATCCTCAAAATCCAAATATCTTTAATGCCAAAATTATCCAATACCAAAAAATTTTACCAAAAACCAACTTCCATTATGGTCAAATAAGCAATACTTTTTTTTCCAATATCAAAATATCTTTCATACCAATGTCATCCAATATCTTTCTTTATCCTCAAATTCGTAATATCTTTAATGCCAATGTTATCCAATACCAAAATAAATTAATGGATTGAAGTATTTTCTATATGAAACATTTAAGACAACCAAAAGAAACAAATATCAAACAGTCAATATTTTTTTAAATAATAATAATGTAATATAATTTAAGAAGATTAAACACATGCACTAAGTTATAATATAATATCTATATAATAATCAAGTTCAGTTACCTGAGACTATTAGAAGCATTTTTTTAGCGACACTACTGCAATGTTGTTGCAACGGTAGACGGTTGCTCTATGTTTATCTTACATCAGCAGTAGCCGTTTCACTCCATTGAGGAGAAGTGTTATACCCCCACTCTACCAATCTGGGCCTATATTAAGTTCTCGCGAGTGGCAGATATTACGGTAGGCCTGAGTGGCGTCCTCGGGGATAGGTGTTGGTAAGTTAAGTATGAATACACCACTTCCACTCACGGGGATTAAACGGTTATCATCTATATCGCATATACAATAATAAAAAAAATTCCCTCAACCCAAGACTGTTAGGACGAATCGAGCGATCACGGATTGGGTCCTGAAAAGGGAAGTGGTATATCCTCACTCTATCGGCCTGTCCCGGGCTCATACCTCGAGTAAGTCAATTACAGCGTGGGCCTGTATGACGTTCTCGGGCTTAATGACAACATTATTTTATGACGCTTAATGAGTTTTTCAAAAAAAAACACAACCCCATATTCCTATGTTTTTGGGGTCGCTGAAACCGAATATGACCATGAACAATTTTTTTGACGACCCATTTTCCCGCAACCACCCCTTGCACCTACTCACGGGGGTTGGAGTTTCAAATTAAAAAAAAATTGAGTATGGTGTCTATTCCAATGTTTTTTGGGTCGCTTCATCCCAAAAACACCATTGAAAACAAATCCTTTCTTTCCTTAACCCCGTACAACCCTCTGGGAGGGGGTTAAAATTTTAAATTTCACAAAAAGTCAAGTTCGGTGTCTAATCCTACGTTTCTTGGGGCGCTGAAATCAAAAAACACCACCAAAAACAAATTCTTTACCCCCTTAACCAGCTAGAACCCCTGGGAGGGGGTTGGAATATCATTTTTCACGGTGCTAAGTGTAGAAAAATAAATTTCCTTAAGACATTGTAGGTGCGTATTTGTGTAATCATAGGTAACTTTCTAGAAAACTTTATTGTTGGTGATGTTTTTTGGTTTCAGCGACCCAAAAAACATAAGATTAGACACCGTACTCGACTTTTCGTGAAAAATGAAATTCCAACCCCCTCCAGGGGTTGTAGGGGGTTAAAAGGGTAAAGAATGTGTTTTTGTTGGTGTTTTTTGATTTCAGCGACCAAAAAAACATAGGAATAGATACTGTACTCGACTTTTTGTAAAAATTGAAATTCCAACCCCTTCTCAGGGGGTTGTAGGGGGTTAAGGGAGGAAATGACTTGTTTTTGGTGGCGTTTTTCGGTTTCAGCGCCCCAAAAAACATAGGATTAAACACCGTACTCGAATTTTCGTGAACAATGAAATTCCAACTCCCTCCCAGGGGTTGTAGGGCGTTAAGGATTTGTTTTTAGTGGTGTTTTTGGGATGAAGCGACCCAAAAAACATTGGAATAGACACCATACTCAATTTTTTTTAATTTGAAACTCCAACCCCCGTGAGTAGGTGCAAGGGGGTGGTTGCGGGAAAATGGGTCGTCAAAAAAAATTTTCATGGTCATATACGGTTTCAGCGACCCCTTTCATTACAGTATTTAAAAGGTCATCGACCATCTTATGAACCCTCAACCAAAAGCTGTTTTGACAACAAAAATTTCAGGTAGAAACCTTCGAGAACCCTAATTATCAAAGTAAAGATATAATATGTATATATAATCTAATAATAATGAGAAAATTCAAGTACTAAGAAAATGTGAATGACTGACGGAATGAATACAAAGATTATTATACTATAATTATAAAATTTTAATCATTTTCTATTTCAGCTTTCTTAAAGGATTATAAAACAGACAAGTTCTAAATGAACATTTGAAAAGTCATCAGAAACTCATAATTGACATTGAATTTCCCAATTAATATATCTCAACTACAATGAAAAACACCATGACTACGGCGAGTATCACGGCGGTCACTCATCTGAAGTACTAACCATACTCAAATGTGGTTAATCTCCATAATGGCAAGCCAAGGCGATTCACCACCAGAGCTATATCAACTGTTTAAAAAAATATCATATTCTTTATTCTAGAATGTTTTTAAAATTTGTTGACTCAATAAATTTTTGCAGAAAATTTTTCAGGCAAAAATTTATCAATTTGTTAACCTAAAAATAAGTTTTTTTTTAAGTATCTTTTCATTTGTCCACATTTCAAACATTTACTGCATATTTGCGACTGCGGTAAGTTTTCGAATAACTTTTGCGATAAATAAAACACATTTATCGAACACTCGACAAAAATGCTATCTTCATACGAGGTGATTTTCTTCTTATCTAAATTATTAATTAATTCCTTCAAAATTATTCCTCTTCTTAGATAAGCCTCTTTAACACCATTCTGTTTTATGAATAAAACTAAATTCATGGCTGTATTTATTGCTTGAAGCTGAGAAATTAAATTTTCAACTTTTAAATTATCAATAGTAGCAACAATTAAAATCTCCAGCAACGAATCCATTCCACAAGTGTTTGAAAATTTATGGTTCACTTTGTTTATCATTACACTCTAAAATTGAAAAGAAATTGTACTATAAAATGTAAATAATAATAATCGTAATAATATAACGGTCAAAAATTTTTAGTTTTAAAAAATTGTTGGATTTTAATAAAAAAATTTTTTAAGAAAGATGTTCAAATTTGACTTTTAAAGCTACGAACGTTATAAGTTAAATGATTTTTTCAAGAGATGATCAATTTGATTGGAAGAGCCATACTAATATTCAAAAATCGGCAAATGAGAATATTAGTTTGTTCATATTTTTTAAATTTAAATAATTAAAAGTGTTTACATATAAATGTACTATACCTTAAGGTTTGGATCATTTCCATTTTTGAGAATTGGAATTTCATTTGAATTTTTATGCCAAAGTGCATCTATTGTATCTTCATTATTAATATTGCAACATAATGAATTTTTTTCAATTTTCTTTTTTTTTTGACTTGTGTAGAAAAATTATCTTGCAAACTTTCTTTTTTTATCTTTAATTTTTTGACAATTGGAATTTTCTTTGAATTTTCTGGCAAAAGTGCATTTACTTTATATTTATTATTATTGATGGATAACAACTCATTTTTCCTTTTCGTTCCCTTCACTTTTGTAGAAAAATTATTTTTAGATTCACCGAAATATATATAGGTAACCGGCGCAAGGTTAAAGTAACCGCAAGATATTTAGCACCTTATAGATCCAATTTTTGTGTCATTTTTGTGTGCTGTTTAAACTTACATACTTTCACAGACCAACTTTGAAAACATATTTTATCTATTATTTTCATTTTTTCACTTAATTAACCCTCCTTAGTACAGGCAGTGAGGGATTCCCTCACTGGTTTCAGTATTTTGTATATAGATTTTTTTGACACGCTATAGAGCGCTGTCCTTCCCTATACCTTTTAACAAAATTCTCAAGTATACATTTGTAAAAAGAAATTTAGTTTAAACTAAATAAATCTTTAGTTTTAAATTTTTGAAGACGACCAGAACACAAAAAAGTAAGGGATTCTCTCCACACTTGTGCTTCGGCGTATGTGAAAAATGTTCAAGTTCTCAATGCGACGTTGCCGTTCTTCTGTTGTTCGTACCAGAAATAAGTTTATATGTAGTGAATCGCCATGTGATCATAATATATGAAAATTAAGTAAACGTAAGTAATTATACACAAACAATCAATAATGGCTTGTTTAGAAACTTTAATTTAATTAATACTTGGTCAGTGCGTGTGTGAAAGAAATATATAAGTAAAAGTTGTTTTAAACTTGTTGTAAAGATGACTTTAACCTCACATAACCTCACATTCGTTGTTTTTATTTTGGATTATTCATATCATTATTATTAAAAATTGAAATGAATCATGTAATAAGAATGATTTAATTAGATTTTTAATAATATTACGTCAAAAGTGTATTTTAGTTAATGTGAATTTAGTGAATTAACTACTAATGTAAAAGAGTTTTTTCAACTTGACAGACCGGCAGATAAATATACACAATTATGCTGTAATTATACATAAAAACGTTATAATCATATATAAAATAAAATTTTCGAAGATGTGTTGTAAATTTTATAGCATTTTTTATATATTGCCAATTGAATAATTTTCAAGGTCCAGAAAAAATTTTTAGTGTAGCATATTATAAATTTTCACTATGACATAAATTAAATTAATTATTTCTTTTAAAGATAAATTAAAAATATGCTGACTCGCCAAAGATTTAATGCTGCCAAACTCCTGGAGGTTGAGGGGAATACATCAAAAGAAACTTGTTCATCAGATGATAATGCAGAAGATGAAATGAATTATTCTGAACACGACACCAAATCTACTTTCTCAGACTATTCAGGAAATTCTGAGGACTCAAACGATAATAATTGGTACACATTTTTTTGTTCATGCTTTTTGTGTTTTGAGTATAATTTAAAACAATAATTACAAAACAAAATTTCAAAATAAATGTAACATATAAATTTTATAGGGTTTCTGATAATAAAAACGCGAAACAGAAAAAGCAACCTGTGCGAAAAAAAGTTGGTCCTTCAAAATTGTAAGTTTTTAAAATTTTTCATTATTTTAAAATTCAATAGTGAATTTTGAAAAGGGGTCCACTCCATTTTTTGAAATTTTAAAGGAGACACAAAAAACCAATGTTTTAAAATTGTTTTGATTAAAAGAAGGCAGCTTTTTCATGTAGTTACTAATTATTATGTTACACGAAAAAATATAAAAATAGTTGTCTTAAATTAGATTGGTTTGAAGAAAATTGATAATTAAGTTTTCAGAGTTGAGCTCTTTTCGAAATTCACTATTCAATTCTAATTTTTGTTTATTTAAAAAAATATAATGTGTTGTGTTTTTATGAATTTATATAATACTTTAAACTTTTTCAGGGTAAATGAAGTGAAATCAGCGGAAGTTCCTTCCAAACCAATTTCTACTAGTGGGAAGGAAAGCGTTGCTTCTGGTGGAAATGTAACAAAAAAATCCAGTTCAAAAAACTCGAATTATTCAAAGCAAGGCATTTCCAATTCGAAAAATAATGCTGCTCAGACGTTCTATTTAGGTAAAGATAATACTCAATGGAATAAAACACCTCCTCCAAAGAATACAAGGACTAGAGCAAAAACATAATTAATTTCTCTGCTGGAGTAAAAGGTGAAGCTCGAAACTGCACAACACCAATTGAAATTTGGAACTTATTTTTTACAGAAGAAATTCTAAAGGAGATTGTAATTTGTACAAACATTCGATTGCTCTATAAGCGAAACAATAATAATGCAACGGAGAAAGGAAATAATGAGGACACAACTATACCTAAAATCAGAGCTCTGTTTGGAATATTGTATATGGCCGGTGTCTTGCAAATGTCTCGTACAAATTCACAAGAGCTTTGGAGTAATAGCGATACTACAGCGCCACAATTTTTTCGTCTAGTAATGAGCCAGAATCGATTTAAGGTTTTATTGAGTACTCTACGTTTTGATAATATTGAAACGAGGGAAGAGAGACGTGCTCTTGATAAACTTGCACCTATCCGGAAAATATTCGATGATTTCAATAAAAGATTGCCTGAATTGTACATACCAGGAGAATGCTGTACCATCGATGAAATGTTACTGGCTTTTCGGGGAAGGTGCCCGTTTAAACAGTATATTCCCAGCAAGCTGGCAAAATATGGTATAAAAATTTTTAGTCTTGCCGATGCCCATACATTCTACACCATCAAAATGGAAGTATACCTTGGAGTACAACCTGATGGGCCATTCTACGTTGATAACAAACCGAGCAATGTAGTCAAAAGATTGGCGATCCCGATTGCGAACTCGAACAGAAATATAATATTTGACAACTGGTTCACTTCATTTCCACTGATCGAAGAACTTCTTAATGATTACAATTTGACAGCAGTGGGTACTGTGAGACAAAACAAACGAGAGCTTCCACCGACTTTCGTGCAAACTAAAAGCAGGGCTGTTAAATCCACTCTCTTTGGTTATCAACAAAATGCTGTTCTTCTCTCCCACGTGCCAAAGAAAAACAAATCAGTCGTTCTTGTTTCCACTGTGCACGACACGGGTGAAATCGATCATTCAACTGGCGAGAAATTTTTACCAGAAATAATTTCATTTTACAATTCAACAAAGGGTGGCGTTGACGTTGTTGACAAACTTTCAGCGAAATATAACGTCGCTCGGGATACTTACAGATGGCCACTTGTAATATTCTTTGGAATTCTAAACGTTGCAGGCATCAACAGTTTCGTCATCTATTCTCTAAATTCCGCGAAAGAAATTCAGAGAAGGACATTCTTGAAGACTTTGGCCCATGAATTGGCGAAACCTCAAGTTTTACAAAGATCTTCAATTCGATCACTTCAATTCAACCTGCGAAAGGAGATGCAAAGATACCTTGGATTAGATCAAGGTTCTGTAAATAACAATGATCCATTCAGATGCGCTTACTGTCCAAAGAGAAAAAATAGATACTCGAAGACTAATTGCATTCGATGCTCATTTAAAGTTTGCACAGAACATACTGTTAAAGTATGTTATAAATGTTTCGAAAAAATTCATAATGTCGAGTAGAGTTTATTAAGATTAAACGGTTCTATTTCGAAAAAAATTTGATTAAGAAATATCAAATAAGAGCCGAAAAATGTGCATAGATAAGTTAAAATTAAATTTTACGAAAACTTCTAAGTTACTGTACAATATAAAGATAAACAGGGTTTGCATCTTTTACATAGTAAATTTATATAACGTGCAAACCAAGTTTGTGTATTAAAAATAATCTAAAAATATAAATTTATGTTTGTTGGATATTTTTAAGTGCTAGTATTAAAAGGGACTGAAGCTAAAAAGTATTACTATTTATATAAAATAAAATTGTTACAAATGTTTTTATGTTATTTCAAGCAAAAAATAAATCGCTTTTAAAATTATAACTTAATTGTTTAGATTTAATGTTTATTTGCAAGTTTTTCCTACAAAAATTGAATATATTTTTTGAAAATTCCAAAAAAATTTATTTATTTTCCAAATTAAAATTATATTATTTAATCTAATTATTGGTTAAAATAAATAAAAATATTTAATAAAATTATTATAAAAAATGTGAAAAGCTACACATTATTCGATAAATTAATTTGAAAATTAAAATATTTATTATAAGTAATTTTATTTTATTATTGCAATTGATTTAAAAAATTTATTAAAACTTATTAATTTTCAAATGAAATTTAAATGTTTATTTCAAAAAATTTCGAATATATTTGTAAAGCCGCATCATAACCCACAATTTAGTCGATTATTTCAAACATTTGGCAGCGTCGCATTTCTTTTGCATGTGAGGGGATTCTCTCTACGGTTGTGCTACGGCGTCATTTTTTTTAGGTTGTACTAAGGAGGGTTAAAAAACCCCCACAAAAAAAATTTTTTCCGGTAAAATAGACTAGTCATTCTTACGTATTTTGGGTCACTGAATCCGAATCCGGGGTCAGAATTTAAAAGTTGGTTCTTATTTTTGAGATAAACTCAAAAAACTGCTCAAAAAAGAAAAAAAATTAAAAAGTGAAAAAATTAATTTTTTTTCTGAGGCTGTGTAATCAATAAAAGATAATAAATTAATTAATTCTGAACAAGAGTCAGTAATACATTGTACATTTTAAAAGAGTTTTATTTTAAATAATCTTTCTAATTGCTGAAAAAGTGAGTTTTCCATATCTTCTCCATTTTAAACTCATATTTCAAGTAGGGATGGAATAGTCGACTTCGACTTTAGTCGAAAGTCGACTTTCGATACTAAAAAGTCGACTTTTCGCGGTCGACTTTGATTCGGTCGAATTCGATGAAAGTCGATCTTCGTCGGTCGACTTCTCGACTTTCTGTCAACATGAAAAACAACTGACACGTGATAAACACGCATGACGAAACTGTGGACTAACGGTTTTCGGGACGTTATATATTATTTTTCGTACATTGTGTTGCACGACATTATTTTTAATTAAATATTAAGCACATGGGTCCTAGTGCTGTTTGGATTTATTTTTCAAAAATTGGTGACGGCAGTAAAGTGCAGTGTACAGAATGTAAAAAGGAAATGTGTTTTAATAAGAATATTTAAATAATATTTAATAACAATAATTTCGATTGAATTATAATTATAATTAGATGATAAAGAATAATTTTAATATTTTAAAATAGAATGTTTTTACCATTAATGTAGAAATATAATCAATTACATTAAAAATGTTTATTCTGGATTTTTCCTTTCATAGTTAAGTATTACTTATTGTAATATAATTAAATTTAAGTTCATCAAATTAGATTTTTCTTAAAAAAATGATTCAGAGATAATTATTAATAAGTTATAAATGAATATTCTTAAAATAAATATGATTTCAAAAAAAGTCGATAAAAAGTCGACTTTTTTTACAAAATCGACTTCGGTCGACTTTAAACAGTCGAAAGACTTAAAGTCGATTGTAAAGTCGAAAGTCGACTTTTCGTTTCCCCTTTCCATCCCTAATTTCAAGATAAATAATAAAAATTTTGACTTAATTGTTTTTATTTCGTGTTCTAAATATCATCCAGAATCATTTCGGAAAGTATCTATTTTTTAAAAAATTAGGCCTTAACGACTTTTGATATAAAATATAATGGATTGAGCCAAAAATTTGTAATTACCTCTATTGCCATTTAAATGTTCGAAAATTCTTTACTTTTATGGTATAATTTTAATTTTAATACCTTAAAAACTAAGTATTATGCAAATTATTATGTAAATTAAATGTTTAAATTTAATTTTTTAATTTTAAATACTATTTAATATATAAACTACACATATTTTTAATTTTTTCCGTAGGCTACTTTTTTCTACTTTTTTTACTTTTCAGGCTACTTTTTGCTACTATTTTTTTACTGACTAATGGGTGTGAAGCCTGTTATAGTTATCTCTATCATCTTTATCACTATCATCTTTATCATCATCATCATCATCATCATCATTATTATTATTATTATCTTCGTCAACATCATTTCTTATTTTTTTGGTTGTCCTAATATTTCTCTAATCCTATTAGAATCAGCTTCGTCGTCCTCTTCAAAAGTTATAATCCTCATCCATGTCGACACGAACCTTTTGAACCCTATAACTCTGAAATTGCCCTTTAGATGACAGATAATTTTCTTTTAGTTTACTTAATCTTGCAATTTGATTCTTTTTTCTTGTAACAACTAGTATCAAAATAAAAAAATTAGAGACAAATTAAAAGGCTGATTATCAAATAAAATAATAAATCAAATAATCTATGGTTTTGGGATTAGATTAGGAACTTGACAAAATGAAGCATTTTTAAACAAATTTTAGCATTATCATGAAATCTTTTTGGATCAGTTTTAGGACTTGATGAATCACATATATAAGGTTTAATTTTAGGACTTGATGGATCACATCTTTTAGGATCAATTTTAGGACTTTGTGAATCTCATCTCTTAGGATCAGTTTCAGGACTTGAAGGATCAAATGTATTAGAATCAATTTTAGGACTTTATGAATCTCATCTTTTAGGATCAATTTTAGGACTTGATGGATCTCATCTTTTAGGATCAATTGTAGTACTTTATGAATCTCATCTTTTAGGATCAATGTTAGGAGTTGATGAATCTCATCTTTTAGAATCAGTTTTAGGACTTGATGGATCTCATCTTTTAGGATCAGTTTAAGGACTTGATGGATCACATCTTTTAGGATCAATTTTAGGACTTTATGAATCTCATCTTTTAGGATCAGTTTTAGGACTTGATGGATCACATCTTTTATGATCAGTTTTAGGACTTGATGAATCTCATCTCTTAGGATCAGTTTTAGCACTTGAAGGATCAAATATATTAGGATCAAGTTTAGGACTTGATGAATCTCATCTCTTAGGATCAGTTTTAGCACTTGAAGGATCAAATATATTAGGATCAAGTTTAGGACTTGATGGATCTCACCTCTTAGGATCAGTTTTAGGACTTGATGGATCACATCTATAAGGTTTAATTTTAGGACTTGATGGATCTCATCTTCTAATATCAGTTTTAGGACTTGATGGATAACTCTGTTGATACTATTTCACAATTGTTACCTTCTCAGCGTGTATTCCTTCTTCAAAGGAGGATCCATCATTTATGTTAAGTTGTTTCATTGGAGGATACTTCAATCTATACTTATTTTTCCTTTCTGTAGCCTTATATTTTGTGCCTGTTTTTTCAAGATCATGTTTGAGGAAATGTAACAAAATATGAAAATGACAATAGGTGTGTTTTTAAAAAAACTGTTTGTGTATTTGATGGTTAATTTATAATTTAATTAAACTATTATTATTTTTAACTAACAAATAATTATTTTAATCATATAGTTTAATAGCATATAGATTAATTGGTTTAAAGTCTAATAAAGTCTGAATTTGACCTGTTCCACATATACATATATTCGTATAAAATAGTCATATGTGTATTTGTAAAATAGAATTTTTATATTTTTAGTTTTGCACGTTATCATTTATTTTTACGATAATTTACACTTTAATTTTAAACTCAAAATGAACATTTTTTAATCAAGGAACTTCTTTTTCATCCTCGTAACGTTTAAATAGTGTTTTGTTTAACCTTTTTCATATTTTCAAAAATTTACTCTTTGAGTTTTCTGAAAGTCGCTTGTCTGTTAAAAATAAAGGTTAATAAACAAAAATGTTTTATCTTGTTTATTGGGTTTCCGAAAAAACTGTAAGCATCGTTGAAGAAACGGACATTGTAAAAAGGAAAAATTCTACTGCTTTAATTTCATGGGAAAGGAAATCGTACAAAGCAAAGCTAATTGCGGTTAATGGTAACTTCTGTTTCGCAGATATATTTTTAATAATTCAATTTTTGATATAATTTTTAAATGCCAGAAAATTTTGACAAATATTTTTACTTAAAAATTTCAACATTCTTATTAGATGACAAAGAGTGGTTAAAAACACTGGAAGTCAATGCTGCAGGTTACATTTGCGGACAAAAAATGCTGAATGGTAATTATTTATAACAATCTATGAATTTTGGTACTTTCTTAAACAGATAAAAATTTTTAAACTGATTATGATTTTATAAAACAAAGTACCCAAAGGATTTTATGATCGCTGATTATAATTTCAATCTCTAAAAACATTTAAATACTAAAATTTTTAGAATTTTAATTTTTTGGTTATATTAAATTTTCAAAAAGAAATTGGAATTCAATTCATCTAAATAAAAAAAATTTTTTTTTGATATTACAAATTTTAAAAAAATTGTAAATAAATAAAATTTTCATTTTCTTAATATTCAAAACATTTGAATTTCACAACTTAAAAAACTCCTACAATTTTTTCATATTTCATGAAATTTAATTTTTTCATTTCTTATGATTTCTTTATAAAAAATAATCGTTTCATATTGCAGCTGCGCGAAAAGCTCCAAATGAACAACCTGCAGTTGCAGAAGGAGCTATAAATGAAGAACCAAAAGATGACAGTTCGCTTCAAGATGCTGAAAACGATGCGCAGATTCCTGAAGTTAATGAAAATAAAGTTGAAATTATTGAAGGAAGTGGTATCTTTGTTACTCTGATGGAAGAAAAAAATTTAATGTCCTTGAAAAATAACCCCAAAAAAATGACAACTAAATTAGTGGTGTATTTATTTGGGAAAGAAAAATTAAAATCAATGTCCCGAACGGGAAAGAGGAATCATGAGGCTATCCCTGAAAACGTTTTAAACACTGTAGAAGGTAAAGTAAGATATCCTTAAGTATCTGAAACTATAAGGGTTCTGAGACGTTTGTTGATATAATTATATTATGTATTAAACTTTCAATCCTGAAATTAAAACTAATAATGTAATGACTGTTTCTTTTTGCAGTTTTCGTATTTCGACATAGCCGTGAAGAGAAAAGGCTAACAACAATCAAATTTAATAAATGCGTCACGAAATTTTGCAACAATTTGAGGAATGAAAAAATATTCAATTAAAAAGAAATAAATTACATTCCGTTATTGATTGTTTTTTTAAACAATGTTTTAAAAGTATTTTTGTTTTTTTATGTACTTTTGAATTCTTAAAGATTAAAAAATTAACACCATTTTTATAAAATAATTTTTAAGTTTTTCAAAAAAACACTTACTTTGTTTTAAAATAATTTTATTATATAAGTGAAAAAATTATCAATCAAATAATAATAATAATTAAAAATAATAATAATGTTAATAAAAGTAATAATAATAATAATTCAAAAATTTAAAGTCATTGCAAGAGCTACAGAGAGAGAGAGAGAGAGGGGGGGTCGGTACTATTTTAGTGACAGAAACTTGTTTTTCGTGATGCCCCGTAGTCATCAAACCAGATATGCCTTTAATTGTCAGATAAATTGTATCTGATGTGGCTTGGAAGCAAGCTTTCAAAAGTGTCTCCTTTCGCTTTAATACAGCACCTTGCCCGTCTGATTAAATTCAAGGTGCATCTCTGTAACATTTCAGGAGTAACAGTCAAAAATGCTTCTCTAATTTTTTCGGGTAATTTTGTTCTTCGCTTACAATAGGGTTGGCATAAATATGAGCTTACACATGCCCCCAAAGGAAGAAGGCGCATGGGTTTAAATCGGACGACCTTGGGGGCCACTCTCTTCGAGTTCCTAGTGCGATCATCCTTTTCCCATATCTTTTTCGAAGGGTTTTCATTACTTTCGCACTTCTATGGGATGGTACTCCATCTTGCATCAACCAATGCTTTCTCTCTTCCTTAAGGGGGGAACACCAGTTGTAACTTTCGAAAAATCAATTTTTTTTTGTGCATTTTCTTAAAGTATACATATTTAGAAATGTGTCTGTAAATTTCAAAGTTGATCCAGTGAAAAATAAATGAGATATACAGAACACTGCATCGGCGCGTCCCGTGGCTTCATACAAGGTGGCCAGCCATAACTGACCCTAACGACAGATGGCCTTTTCCTATGATTTAGAAACGGCAACCACTGCGGAAGAGTTATTATATGGTCCAGGAATCGATGACTCTTTGTTACTTGGAAACAAAATTTCTTCTGAACAAAAAAAAGTAAGTTGAAACTTTGAATGCGTTTTTCTCAAAATGACATTTTCCAAGTCGGTGACCACGATTACTCGAATACCATTAAACCGATTTATTTAAAATTTAGTGTGCTTCATTTACACATATAAGTCTAGTTCGTGATCGAAGGATTTTTTTTTTTATGCAAAACTTTTTTTTATATAGCTGAAAATCGACCGTATTTTTTTAACGAAAATCATACTTTTGACTTTGACAGGTCGCCATTTTGTCAAATTTTTTTTTTTAAATCCTTCGATCACGAACTAGATAATCTTATAATAAATGTAAATCAATTTCATTTTTGTATTTCAGACGAAGTATACTTGCAGAATGCTGGTCACCGCAATTCGCCTTTTTTCTTAAGACGCCACTTCAATGGCTCGTATCTCCAAAAGTTTTTGTTCAAAAAATTTTTTTTTTCTTTTAAATTACAGCTTTTTACATGTACTTTTAACTAATAAATAGTATTCTTTAAAAAGATTCATTGTTCTTTTGGAAAATATTCTTGAAAAAAGCATTATTTTTTGAGTTACAACTGGTGTTCAACCCTTAATTCCACTGGTTATTAATAAACGAGGAAGATGTCTGACTAAGAAGTCATTATATCGATCACCATTTAAATATCCATTAATTTGGAAAGGACCGATCTAAAAAGAAGAAATTTAAATTTTTTAAATGAAAAATCTGAAGGACGTATGAAAAAGGAAAAAAAAATTAAGTTTCGACTATGTCTTAGAGTTGTTATTATTTCTTTAATGTTTTAGAATTATTAGTTGAAATTCTGATGGATTCCCGTTTGGAATTTTGCTAATTTTTTTAAATCTTAATTTTTACATAATGATATTGGATAACATCCTTTGGATTTTTCTGCTATTATTATCATATATTAACCCCTTCACTGTGAGCGACCCAACGTTGGGTCGTGAAAAATAATGTGCCAATACTGTGAGCGACCCAACGTTGGGTCGTGAACATATTATCACAAAATAAATAAAATTTATTGTATTCATTGTAAATAAATTCTCCCATACAATTTTGAGGACACTATAGGTATCACTGACATTAATTATTGCAATAATTAAGTAAATATTAATTAATTATTGTTAATATAACAATTGTAAAATAAGTGAAATTCACGAAAAAAATTTTATTTTTTGATTTAACACACATTTAGGGTATAAAGGTTTTTGGGGTCGCTGAATTCAAATCTGATCTTGAAATTGAAAAATTCAAAATGGCGGATCCAAAATGGCAGACATAATTTTCCAAATTTCAACGGATTTTAATAAAACTGAGTATAAGGGGGTTTTTGAGGGCGCTGAATTCGAATCTGAGCTTGAAATTGAAAAATTCAAAATGGCGGATCCAAAATGGCAGACATAATTTTCCAAATTTTAACGGATTTTAATAAAACTGAGTATAACGGGGTTTTTGAGGGCGCTGAATTCAAATCTGATCTTGAAATTGAAAAATTCAAATTGGCGGATTCAAAATGGCGGACATAATTTTCCAAATTTCAACGGATATTAATAAAACTCAGTATAAGCGGGTTTTTGAGGGTGCTGAATTTGAATCTAACCTTGAAATTAAAAAATATTCATATTGTTTTCTTTGCATTAGCTGATGAACTGATTCATGACCCCGGAATGTGCCACGTGGAGGCTGCAAAGATTTTACATTCCTTTTTTTCTTTTTTTTTGTAGGTTTTTAATTTTTAACTTTTTTTGTTGTTTTTTAATTTTCTAATTTTTTTGTAGTTTTTTAATTTTTTAATTTTTTTGTATGTATGGTTTGATTTTTTGATCTCCAAGATCAACACCACCCATATTTTCGTTATAGAGCAGAACGACATTCGGCTTTTTTATAACGTCTGCATTGGGTTTTCGTTTGCGAGTCGCAATCATTGCAGGACAGAGAACAGTGCTAAGAATTCTAACCATCTTTTTGTCTTTCCATAAAGTTAAACTCATTTTTGGAGTGTGAAGAACTTTTATGTCACCTTTTTGCATTGCTTTTTCATCAATATTTCGTGGCATATACAGTCGATTGGGTCGAACAGTGCCGCAAGAATTAGTACCTTGGTCTGACAATTGCTTAAAAAGCACTGGAGAAGTGTACCAATTGTCTACGAAAAGTGTGCGGCCTTGTCCAGCTAAGTCACCTAATAGTAACTTAACTACTGCTCCTGAAATCCCAATCAATTTGTTTTTGGTTGAATTTTCTTCTTTTCCTGCATAAATTTTACTATTGTAAACATATCCCGTTTTCGACTCAGAACATTGGTAAAGTTTTATGCCAAATCGGGATCTCTTTTGGGGATTAAATTGCTTAATGCTAAGCCTCCCTTTACATTTAAGTAAAGTTTCGTCGATTGAAATAAACTCACCTGGTCTATAAACTTTCTGAAAACGCTCGATCAACTCATTAAATATTGGTAAAATTTTGTCACATTTTCCTGTGATGCCTGTTTCATTATCAAAGAAATGAAGATAAGAATTGATTTCTTGGAATCTATCTATTTTCATGTATCTTCTGAAGCACGGTGTTTCTAGATAAGGATCAGTGGACCAGTACATAGATATTTCTGGTTTTCTTATTATGCCCATTAAAATTTTTAATGCAAAAAAGACAAATAGCTCATCAGGATACAAAGGTTCCCATTTTAGAATGCGAGAATTTTTCTTTATTGTTCCAGATTTTGTTCGGTTTGCTAGAGTAGACTCATGATATAAGTTTGTTTGAAAGCAAATCATATCCATAATTTCATCATAAAAAAATAATTTAAAAATCTGCGCAGGTGTACTGTTTTTATCTACATTTAAACCTGATTGAATTCCTGCTTTTGAATCACAAAAAGGATGATGAAATGGTAAAAATGTACCTGTTTCATTTCAAGCCATATCTTCTTTAAATTTTTTTAGTCGCTGTGATAACGGTAAATCAGATTCATCTTCTGAAGCATTATTCTGATCGTCACTAAAACTAATTTCTTCATCAGAAAAGTTTGATTTATCAGACAAGTCAGAATTTGAACTACTATTACATGGAACAGTATTCGAATCTGAATCGGAATCCATTGATAATGATAGAACAAGCAGAATTATTTAATAAAAATTTTATTTAATGTAGTTGCTTTATTATATTAATACTTACCAGTTTTAGAGCTAAGTTATGGTTAACACAAGTCGTTGCAATAGTTCAGCGCATTATTAGAAAAATGCACTGTCTGTTAGTGGTGCGGAGAATGCTAACATACCTCCTACTTAGAGTGCGCGCAATTGAGTGGCTGGATCAAATAAGTCGATCTGCGCTCGGACGGACGCTGTAATGCTAGTCAGGTAGCAGTGAGCGCCTCTGAGCCGCTCACTCCTACCCAACTACCATTAAAGCGTCCATCCAAGCGCAGATCGACTTATTTGATCCAGCCACTCAATTTACGCTCGCCCATGCCTTGTGACAGTTGGTTTGACAGCTGTCAACTGTCAAAATGTAAATTTGACATCATATTCGTAATCAGCGACCCCGAAAACCCTTGTATTGTCATTTTTGTCAAAAATTATCACTTTTTAGAAAATTTTACAGTTGGTTTGACAGCTGTCAACTGTCAAAATGTCAATTTGACATCATATTCGTAATCAGCGACCCCAAAAACCCTTATATACTAAGTTTCATAAAAATTCGTCAACCCATATCAATTGAACATTTTGGGACCATTATATATTTTGCTCTCACACCGAAGGGGTTAATAATAACAAAAAATTCCGATATAATTATGTAAAAATTAATATTTAAAAAATCAAAAAAATTCCAATCGGAATTTAATCAGAATCCCAACGAGATTCCCAGGAGCACTTTCCTAGAAATCTTTCCACGTGGGGAAAATCAAGAAAACGTTGCCAATGTTTTTCTCCAAGAATTGGTGTTGTATAAGATGCTTACCAATCGGCCATCTATAATTCCTGCCCACAGATTCACATACAATCTGTTTTGATTATTACGTGGCATCTCTAAAAACAAATTTCTGTCACTCCAATAATGTTCCGTTTTATAGTTGAACGGGCCTTCTCTAGCAAAACATGACTCGTCAGTGAAAAGGATGTTATTCACAAAACTGGGGTCACGCTCGTATCGTCTTACGAGCCACTTGCAAAATTTTTACCGTCTACGGCAATCATTTTGATGACTTAAGGTTTGGACCCTCGTAAAGCTATAATCATGCAACCTGTCGATAAAATTAGAAAATTTAATAAAATATATTATAAACAGTTAATTCAATTTATTGATTATTAAAATTATTTTTTAATTGATTTTAGTTTTGATGGAAAAATATTTTCTAGCACAACAGAGGTGATATTTTATAATTTCACTTCACTTTGCTTCATTTCACTATACCTCAACACACTTCACTACACTTCATTTCATCTAACTTTTACCCTTCAATTACTTCTCTATTTATTATTATATTTTATATCATCGCATTAGATGATATGAGGTAAATTGTTGATAAATTGTTCTTTATTTCTTTTTATTACTTTTGTATTTTTCTTAGATTTATTGTTTTTGTATATAAATTTATTTTATTATTATTGTATACTGTGTCCTATGTATGATTTTTGTATTTTGTATATTTATTTGTGTTGAAATTACAACGATAATTTTGTATTTTCAGATTTAGGAAATAAGTTAAAGCAAAATTTCAGGGAAAGGGAAAAGCCAGGTACTTGCAGTACCTACCGGCATTTTGGGTGTAGTCGTACAAATTCGGTCCTGCGGTATGTCTAAAGTTATTTTTCTCAAGTTTTCATGTATTTAAAGCCAATTTACAATTATTCAATAAAGTGTTAATTTACTCTATATTAATCCCTATTTTTATCTTTGGTACGTGTTTTATTCTACTCATTCAAGCTGAATTTCAACAATTTGTATATTATTTGTATATTTATTATATATTTATATTATTTTTGATTATTTTGATATTTTATTTCTTTATTTAACCTATTCTAATTTAAATATTACTACAATAATTATATGTATAATTAATAAATAAATTGTAATTTATTATTACTAGTATTATTATTATTTTAACTGAACTTCGTTTCTTTTTTTACCGTCGCCTGCACTATAGAATAAGACACCTTGAATTTTCTCGCGACTTGCCTTAACCCATTAACGCCCAAATGTCCACAATTTTTAACTTAACTTCAATGAAAGAATTGAAACATTAAAAGACCAGATATTTTAATGCCCATGGATTCTAGGGGGTATTGGGTATCGCTCTTTCAGATTTTGAGGTCAAAATAGAGATTGGTCGACCAGAAAATCCAATATGGCGAATAAAATAAAAAAAAAAACAAAAAATCATTGTTTTTTTTTAAACATTTTTTTTGAAGCCGAAAACATTTTTTCTAAGACATCTAACCTATCCTATTGGTGGATAAAATAGTTGTACTTTTAAACTATGTTCATGAGAACCTTCAATTTCAAGATAGCGGACTCAAAATGGCGGAAAAGTAAATGCAATTTAGTAGATATGAACAGAATATTGAACTAACAGTTAAAAAGTCATTAATTCTGCCTCAAAATGGTTACTCGGGTGTTTTCGAGGTCGCTGATTACGAATCTGAAGTCCGTTTTTCAAATTTCAAAATGGCGGATCCAATATGGCGGATTATTTTTAAAAATTCATTGAATTTGCTTGAAACTTATTACTCGGGGGTTTGCGAGGTCGCTGATTACGAATCTGAAGTCAGTTTTTCAAAATTCAAAATGGCGGATCCAATATGCCGGATTATTTTTTAAAAATTCATTGAATTTGCTTGAAACTTATTACACGGGGGTTTTCGAGGTCGCTGATTACGAATCCAACGTCAGTTTTTCAAAATTCAAAATGGCGGACGACTTTTGAAAAATTTATTAATTCAAATTAACCTGTTTATCAAAATTATACGTGCAAAAAATGTTTCATTCCATACTTTTTCTTTTTAGAATTACCAGATTACGAGTTACAAGCCAGACTTTCAGAATTTGACTATTTTAAAGAAATACCTTAAAAATTGTGGAATTTTAAAAATTTGACTTTAGATTAGTTTTCAATAATTCAAAAACTTCTGGATTTAAAATTTAATAAGAATCGAACAATTTTTTAAAAATTCGTTTAATAGATTAAATTCGCACATTTTAAATATGAAAAACTGACGTCGGAATCGTTATCAGCGACCTACAAAGTTACCAAGTAAGTAGTTTCCAGTGATTTTAAATATTTGTCCGCCATATTGGATCCGCCATTTTGAAATTTGAAAAATGGACTTTAGATTCGTAATCAGCGACCTCGAAAACCCCCGAGTAATAAGTTTCAAGCAAATCCAATGAATTTTTAAAAAATAATCCGCCACATTGGATCCGCCATTTTAAATTTTGAAAAACTGACTTCAGATTCGTAATCAGCGACCTCGAATACCCCCGAGTAATAAGTTTCAAGCAAATTCAATGAATTTTTAAAAAATAATCCACCATATTGGATCCGCCATTTTGAAATTTGAAAAATAGACTTCAGATTCGTAATCAGCGACCTCGAAAACCCCCGTGTAATAAGTTTCAAGCAAATTTAATGAATTTTTAAAAAATAATCCGGCATATTGGATCCGCCATTTTGAATTTTGAAAAACTGACTTCAGATTCGTAATCAGCGACCTCGAAAACCCCCGAGTAATAAGTTTCAAGCAAATTCAATGAATTTTTAAAAAATAATTCGCCATATTGGATCCGCCATTTTGAAATTTGAAAAATAGACTTCAGATTCGTAATCAGCGACCTCGAAAACACCCGAGTAACCATTCGGAGGCAGAAATAATGACTTTTTAACTGTTAGTTCAATATTCTGTTCATATCTACTAAATTGCATTTACTTTTCCGCCATTTTGAGTCCGCTATCTTGAAATTGAAGGTTCTCATCAACATAGTTTAAAAGTACAACTATTTTATCCACCAATAGGATAGGTTAGATGTTAATTGGTTAAACCAGTTCGACGATGTTCGCGAACATATTCTAAAATATTTTCTTCCATGACCGCTGTTCTTTTTGATCTCGGTCTGCCGGAGATATTTTTATTGTCAGGCACCATTGGCCCTTTTTCGTTTATTCGAGTAATTAACCGGGTGATGACTTGGTGCCCGGGAAACCGTTGATCATCGGCGTACTTTTCCTTATACATTTCAGCTGCACGATGACAATTACCGCCCGTTAATGTATGGCATTAAAGCATATTTTTATATTCTTGATGTGTATACACAACCATTTTGGATGTGTCAATGAAGACTGAATTTTTTTAATTGACAAATCACTTCGTGACATTAGGCTAAAGTTAGCCATTCTTTTGATTTTTTTTCAATAGAGAAGTTGGCCGCGTGACAGAAATGGCGATCAAATATTTCAAATTTATCGTGACTTTTCAATATATTTAATTTCAATTAATTTAAAAACTATTGCGAATTTTGAAAAAAGAACAAGAAGTGCTATCTTAGAATTTTTCCTGGAACTCATTTTGCAATTTTGAATGCGACTTTTTCATCACCCTGTATATATACATGTTGCATATGTATATATGTGTATGCTCATGCGTGTGGGAAAAATAGTTTTTGGAATTCCCCTTGACAAAGAAAATTTTTTTAGGCAACCTGGAAATTATTCGGAGCAGAAAATACGCCGTACGTATGTTTGCGCACGAATTTGTGGTTGCGTAATGACCAGGATGGTCCAGTG